CTAGAATTAAAGCTAGTATTGAAGCTACAACAAGGGCTAGGACTACGGTTAGAGCTAGATACCAAATTGAGAGCTTTGATCATTACTCCAAAACCCAATTCCAGCCATACTAAAAAGTATGTTCCTCCAAAACGTTTTTGTTACCATGTAACAACATATAAAAGGTTAAAAACAGCTCTTAGAGTAATTGTTAGTGGTTATAAACTTTTTTGGAGGAAAAACAACCCGGAAAAGGCTGAATTTATTCCGGGAAAACATTTTATCTCAATTACTCTGCATAACACATTATTTGAGAAATTTTAAACCAAACACATTCTGAATTTTTTTAAATTCACTTTAACGCCTAAAAAACATAAATAATTTAGGCTTACTTTGCCTAGACATGAGGAACGGTCCGAGCCGAACATGCCCCAAATTTAGGTAAGGCCGGCCTAAAAATCAAGGAGAAGCCCCTTCCTTATGTCGAATTCAGCCTGAGTCTACTATGCCAAACCATACTAAGCCTAAGCCTACTAAGCCTAAGCCTACTAAGCCTACGCCTACTAAGCCTAGGCCTACTAAGTCTAACAAGGGAATGTTACAAACTGCCCATTCGATTTTTAAAAGTGAATGGTACCATGTGAAAGAGCGTAAAAAGTTGACTAGAAATCTATTTTCAAAAACTGCTAATTTTGCTTTACAAGCCCGCTAGCGAGCTTTTAAAATTTTTACTATTAAAACGGATTTTTTAAACGCGCCTTCTTTTGGCTTCTTTCAAAAAAGAGAGGTAAACGTGTTCGAATGGCCGAGTGGTCAAAGGCGCCGTGATTGCGCAATCAATAGACTTTAGGTTCGATTCCTTTTTTAGGTAAATGATTGGTATTCTTTTTTATTTAAAAGTTAATTAATTTAAATATTCAAAAAAAAATTTTTTTTGTTGATAATGGCTTCTTACATCTAATAAAACATAAAAAAAAGTAGAAACTAAGGTTTTTAAAAATACAATAATCCAAAAAAAAGGCTAACAACTTATAAAGCCCTTTCACTAATGATTTTAAAATCTCGCTAGCGGGCTTTTAAGGCAAAATTAGCAGTTTTTGAAAATAGATTTCTAGTCAAATTTTTACGCTCTTTCACATGGTACCATTCACTTTTAAAAATCGAATGGGCAGTTTGTAACATTCCCTTGTAAGCCTACTAAGCCTAAGCCTACTGAGCCTACGCCTACTAAGCCTAAGCCTACTAAGCCTACGCCTACTAAACCTAAGCCTACTAAGCCTAAGCGTACTAAGCCTACTAAGAACAAGCCTACTAAGTCTAAGCATACTAAGCATAAGCCTACTAAGCATAAGCCTACTGAGCCTAAGCCTACTAAGTCTAAGCCTACTAAGCATAAGCCTATTAAGCCTAAGCCTACTAAGCCTAAGCCTATTAACCTAAGCCTACAAAAAGGCCTAACCTTATTAATACAAGTTTAAAATTTTTAAAAGTACATTGAAATGTCCATCAAACCCCCGTAGGCACTTTATTGAAATTCGGCTAAACAATAAAATGAGAATCAAATTGTGGCATTTTTAGTTGGTCTCATGCATTTATAAATCAATGTTTTTGCCTTCTTAAGCTGTAAACAAAAAAGTTAGAGGTCTTTGAGGACAATCGTACTCAAAACTTAAAATATCCATTAAACCTTTAAAAAATTTTTAAAGTCACCCTTTACTAATAATACCGTACATTACAGTATTCCAATTTATCCTATCTTACTCTACCCTACCCTACCTACTCTAGACTACCCTACCCTACGCTACCTTATCTTACCCTACTCTACCTTACCATTACAATATGCCAGCTCAAAGTTATCAGAGTACCAGAATGTGTACCACGTAGTAGCAAGGCACGCTAGTACTGTAAACACTATTAAAAGTGTAAAGTGTAATAAGAGTAGCTCATGACCTCTTTTGACCGCTTTTTTAATGTCACAAGGTGTGAAATTTAATATATTCTGAGCGTCTTTATTTACATTGTTTTAGCTATTGCATATAATGTTCAGCACGCCAAAAAACAACGAAAACAATTGTTTCAGCAGCAAGTCTAAAGTCCCTAAGCCTAAGCCTAAAAGCTTAAAGCCTAAAGCCTAAAGCCTAAAGCCTAAAGCCTAAAGCCTAAAGCCTAAGCCTAAAAGCCTAAGCCTAAAAGCCCAAGCCTAAAAGCCTAAGCCTAAAAGCCTACGCCTACTAAGCCTAAGCCTAAGCCTAAGCCTACTAAGCCTAAAAGCCTAAACCTAAAGGCCTAAGCCTGCTAAGCCAAGGCCTAATAAGCCTAAGCCTAATAATGCAAAGCCTAAGCCTACGAGCTTAAAATGAAAAATTTCAAAGCCCAAACACGAAATCCCAATGATTTCACAACCATTTTAAAACCAACTAATTGTAATAATAAAGTTGTGCAAATCCGTTTACGATAATAAGCGGAAATTGCCTACAAACAAAAAGAATGTGCCAAATTGAGCGTGCACACGATTCGAGAGCGTTATAAACAAAAAGAACGATTTGTGCATGTGGCGTGAAAAATCCGTCTATTTTGTACTATTTAGCACTTGGTACGTATATCTTTAACAAAAAGTTAATTAAGCCTAAGCCTATAAGCCTAAAATTAAACCTAAGCCTAGAAGCCTAAAATAAGGCGTAAGCCTAACTAAAATTAAGCGTACGTCTGTAAGCCTAAAATTAAGTCCAAGCCTAGAAGCCTAACATTAAGCAAAAGCCTAAATTTAAGCCTAAACCTATAAGCCTAAAACTAAGCCCCTAGAAGCCTACGCCTATGAGCCTAAAATTAAACTTAAGCCTAGAAGCCTAAAATTAAGCTTAAACCTAACTAAAATTTTAACTTTTAATAGGTTAATTTTATAAAATTTCAATAAATTACAGTGGTGTTTATACATGACAATTCCAAAAAACATGTGTTTTTATAATTGTGTTAGTTCATTAAAATTATATCACTAACAATGTAAGTTTAACTCGATTAAAGCGTTTAAATTTCTTTTCATTAAAGGCTATGTTAGGAAGCCGGAAGTAGCGATTTAGAAACAAGTTCCAAAAATCCGCTTAATTACTTTAGTATCTTTATTTGTGTGTTTCAAATGACAGTCAACATGTTTAATAATAGTTGCGAAATTTTTTTGGCGGTAAAATTAGAATAAACTCTTGAAAAAGGAATACAGTGGAACTCCTGTATAACGAACTCCTGTATAACGAACTACTCTATAACAAAAATCCCGTATAACGAACAACTTTTGAAATCCCCGTCTACCACTACACAGTGCGTTTAAAACTCCTGTATAACGAAACTCCTTTATAACGAACAAGTTTCCAGTTCCCGAGCGATTCGTTATACAGGAGTTCCACTGTACTTATTTGTCATCTTCTTCCTCCCCTCCATTAGGATAAGAAGAAGACGACGACCATCCCTGCCATGCCCCACCGCAGCCTGAGCTCCCAGTTTGGCCGGCAAATGCCGACCAAACTAAGAGCCCAGCGCCGAAGTGGAGCACTTCGGGCTGGTCGTCGTCTTCTTCTTATCTTGATGGAGGGGAGGAAGAAAACCATATTGCAAATCAGGCTGTCATCACTGTCAATCCCTTTCTATTCATCCTGTTTTCAGACGGTGTATTAAGCTGCTTTCTGAACGCAGCGCCAAGGACACCTTAACCGAGATCAAGACACGGGTATTGGAGATATAGACACTGTTGGTACGCAATTTGTTTTTGAGATACGCACCACCCTCTCCTCGCCTCAACGATTTCAGACGTCTTACCGAAATCTGGACTTTTGGTCGCTTTTTCTTGAGAAACATTTTTTAGAGGCAAAAAATTAAAATTTTTAAGCAAAAAAAATAGTGATAGACCTACGCCGACCTTATTCTAAACTAAAGCAATTTTTCTGGTTCCGTGTTACCTTACCTTATTGTTCCTCCAAATTTCTCCACCAGTGCCTCTTCTCCATCGTGCTTCTTCTCCACCTCTTCTCCACCAGTGCTTCTTCTCCATCCCCTACCCTACCTTACTCTACCTTACCCTACCCTGCCCCACCCAAGACTACCCTTCCCTGCTTTACCCTATCTTTCCGTGCCCTGCTTTCAAAGCAAAAGAATAAACTACCTAAACCGCGCCTTCTTAAAACAAACCTTATCAGTTCATACTTTTCAAAAAACGAATATCAGAGCAGATTATGTTTTTAGTGACACCATGTTTCAAACCTAACATAGGTTTTTTTTGTTTTCGATCTTAACAGCTTAAAGTTAGCAGCGCGTGAGATGGTTAATATATTTAAAAATAATGCATTTTAAAACATTACTATTTGTTTTCTTCTATACAAGTTTACTCTTAATTATAAGCCCTAAGATTGGAGCCGAGATCGACAAAGTATTTGTTTGTAAGTTATTGTAAAATGGATCCATTCAAAGTTTTGATACTCTAAAAATTCATGCCTTCCTCAAGAATAACGACTTTCCAGCTTTTTAAATTTTTTTGAGAAGAGTCCCGTTTGTATATATAACAAGTGTATCTTGCAGTAGACCATTTTGTTTACGTAAAAACTTCAAACCAAATTGTGGGCTTTGTAGTTACTATTTTTGGAGATGGACTTACTTTATCCTCGAGAAAGTTTGATACGTTTGGAGAATGCCACACGTACTGTTTTAAAAGTAAGAAAAACACCTTTTTAAATCGTTAATCCTAGGGAAATCGCTACAGCTTCTAGGAAGATAAAAATTAAAATCTGTCTTTGTCTAGTCTCGTTTTTTCTCCTTTTTCGCATGTTTCTTATTATTCTTGTTCTTCATCGTTTTGTTCTTCTTTTTTTCTTCTTCACCTGCTTCTTTTTATTCTGCTTCATCGTCTTGATGTAATTTCTCTCTTTCTTTATCATCTTCTTCTTCGTCTTCTTCTTCTGCGTCTGCTTCTTCTTATTCCTCTTCTTTTACGTCTTCTTTCTTTTGATCCTCCTTCAAAACCTTCGACCATCATTACCATGCCTCACTCACATCGGGGTGAGGTTCCAGTTTATACATTCTTTTTCTTTTGAATCTGAAAGGGGGATCAACCTAATTCCCGCCCCCCTTTAGGTTGATCCGCTTTTCAATACGGTAATAATAGTTTCTCTTGTTGATCCTTTTTTCAGCCCCAACCCTCTGCTCAATATATTGCAGTCCAATGTGTTGCCTGCCAAGTGCGATCCAACGACCGATCAAGAACGCATCTTTTAAAGTGACAAGATCAGTGCTAACAAAACACTACTGGGTTGATCCCGAATTTCAAGGAACGTGTGGTGTGTACGCTGTTGATACACTAGTTTTTAAAGATCATTACTCTGCCAAGAGCATTACTTTACATAACGCTACATTTGCCATCCAGGCCGTTGTGGGGCAGGTAAGAGAATATCATCATATCTTTAATTTACTTTATCTCCTTAATTTACTATGGCACATTTCAGGATGAATACGCTACATACGCCAGACCAAGTAACCGCTTTGGTCTAAGACGCCGAATAGATAACCAGACACTAGCACAGATAATGCACAAGAATGGGCTCATATCTAGACCGGTGGTAATGTTACACTTCTTCGACTATCCAGTCTTTGGTTGTAAGTTTTTGTTGCAAAAGTTACAGCTTCTGTAGCCAGGTTCTATAACTAAAGTTTTTTTTATTTTTCTAATAAAAAAACGTTTTCTCCTGTATAATATTATAATTAAAGCCTTGAATTCTTCATTATGCGCTCCCTTCACTATGATAGACGTTTCGGATGAACTGGAATGGATATTCAATGGTTCGTACTTGAGGTTTTTAAAGCTGGAGTATCGTGAGCCATTCAAAGTAAGAAGAATTTTTTATTTTAAAGTGCCGTACCGGGCTGGCACATGCGGTCCCAAGAGCAAGGCCGCAATAATTGGTCCCGGCCCTTTACATATCTGCACACACTGCAACATAAAACAAAATAAAGACATTTTTAGATGGCCGTAACCGACGGCAACATCATGTCTATAAGCCGGACACTTTTAAGCCAACTAATTGAAATAAGATGTCTCACATATGATTTTTCATTCAATTACAACGTAACTTGCGGCACTGCTGATGGTATGAAGGAAAATGCGTATATTAAAATTTCTTTAGATGTTAACGTCTGGCAACTAAAGGACTATAATATCCAGCTTAAAACTGAGGTATTTCACGGCGGTATGCCAAACAATTCAATTTCAATAAGTCCGATAGAACCAAATCCGGACAACTATGTGTGGCGAATTAACATGTATGTAAGTCGTTTTCGTTAGTTCTACGATGTTCCCAAATTCAAAAGTTCCTGTTTCGGCCACAGCTCCGGCTCCGGGGGCTTCAGTACTAAAATTCAACATTTTCTGGCTAAAGCCGAAACTGCCCCAGAACAGGTAACGTTACTTTCACTTCGACTAGACCTTAATCTCCCACATTTTAGGTAAAAACGCAATACTGTATTGGCCTTGATTATGGTAACAACCAGATTGGTTTCGCCGAGCGCATTCGCAACTAACACATTACTGTATATATACACGCCATAATAAAATCTTGTTTTTGTTACCGTTTTTAAACAAACTTTTCTAAAGTAGTATCCTTCTTGTTCTATACAGTACTTTCTCTATATAAGCAACCCGAAGAGACCGAAATTTTGCGTTTCCTATAAGGAGTGTTGTCTTTACAGAGACTTTTTAGTGCAAATTGACTTGGAGGAGCCAAATTTCTTGTTTACATAAGGAGAGTTGCTTATACAGATGGCTAACTATATAGAGAGACCACTGTATGTCTACAGTTGTATCCTTGTTGCTTTAAATTCAATTTTAATTTCAGTCTATCATCGTTCTTATTTTACAATGGTTCTATCAGTGTTACATCTCTACAGTTGTAACACAAAAAGTATACTTGTTGTTTTCAGTTCAATTTCTTTCTACCAGTGTTCTTAGGTTTTCCTGAATTTATCAGTTTTCTCGAGAAAAAGGTGCTCCAAGCTGCTTATAGTTAAAATCTCTGCATAAATGTATAAAAAAATATTTTTTTAACGTATCACGACGCTTCTACAAATATCCTTACTACAATAAATTCTTTCGTAACCTTGGTAATTCAGTTTTCATTTTGCATATATTACCTTACATCTTTTTTATATGTCATCAACACTTCTTTTTATAATTGTATTTTGTATTATTATTTCACCTAGCACATCAGACGAAGATAAAGTGTTTGTATGTAAGTTTTTTTGAAATATTATTTGTATAAGCCGCCAGTAATAAAATTTTTAAAATTGTCTACTACATTGTTTTAGTAAAAAGCGTCATTAATGTAGGCAATTCGCCTCAAGTCCTCAATTTAATGATATCACTGTTTGAAGACGGACTTATACTTTCATCAGCCAAATTTGAAACTGTCGAAGTTTGCAAAAAATACTGTGTTGAAAGTGAGTTCAAACGTAATATTCGTATATACTCCACCTGCCCTGCTTAAAATCATTTCGTAGTTGTTAGATCAATTCTTTGTACCACCACACGTCAAGAAAAAATAAAAGAAAAACAATTATCCAGAGAAAATCGCTTGGCATTCCGCAACAAGAGGAAACAAATAGTATGTTAACTTCGCGGTATTTTTTCGACACGTTAAAGTGCAGATATCACAAAAGTGTTTAATAGCAATTAAAAAACAATACTTTAATTCCCAAATTTAAAAAATCTCTTTGTGTTTGAGCGCTTAATAAAAATTTGGTATTCATATTAAAAATATGCTTTCCCAAACTCTAAAATACGTCATAACTTTGCAACGAGCACATGAGCAGCTGTAGCGGTAGTAACAGTTGGACTAAGGAGATAATAAGGAATAATTTGATACTAAAAACGTCTGATTCTATGGAGTAGAACTTGAGTTATCAAGAGATATCAGTTTCATATATTCATGCGGAAATTTTTCATTAATTTTTTGGCGGGATTTTCCTTTATTTATTAGTTTCTTTCATTATTTATTTAATAAGGGTGCTTAATTGTTACATTTTTTACCTTCTTTATCCTTAAATAACCTCGAAACTACATTAGTAAAAAACCCGAAAGACATTTTCGAAAAAGAAAAGCTGAAGAAAAAATATTTTTCCGCTATGTGAGAAATGCCAAAAATCTGTTCAAGACACAAAAGCAAAATCGTTTTTTCTTGACGTGCACCAATATTACCCATAAAAATATTTAAATCGCGTTCTTGAGCTTAAAAAGCCAATGAGATCGGGACAGGTCAAACACATTCTTCATCAAACTCTTACAAAAGGCAGCATCTGTAAAAAATAAAAAATACAATAAATTTAAAATTTTACAGATAAAGCATTGTGCTCCATTTACTGCAGTCCAATGTGTTGTTTCAGCACCGAGCTCAGAACAATTGATCCCAAATATTGTTTTAATTTAACAAAGTCATTTGCTACCAAACGCTATTGGTATGATACTGAGTTCATCGGCACGGTTGGTGTATATGCAATAGACACTGTTACATTTGATGACCTTAACGCCCAACATTCAATTATTTTTACAAACTATACGTTTGCAGTGCAAATGACAACGAATTTAGTAAGGCATATAAGTAGACCTGTAAAGGGACCGGACCAACTTTTTTAGGATGAATACACGCTCGGAGCTAGACAAATCCATCGACTTGGCCTAAAGCGCCGCAGCGATGGCCAGACATTTGCCGAAATACTTTATGCACAAGGCATTATATCACGACCAGTTGCTTTGTTAAGTGAACTAGACGAAACGGTTTTTGGTTGTAAGTGGTCGTTACAGATTAGTGAAAAGTCCAGTAGCATAATAAAAAGCCTACAATAATTTCTAAGGTACTAGCCAATCTTTTTTACTCAAGTAAATTTTTTTGCTCAATTTAATACCTTTTACTTAAGCTTTAAAGATACCACACTGCGGCGACTTCACAATGGTTGACGTTGCGGACGATTATGACTGGATCTTTGAGAGCACCTACTTCAACTTTTTACAGTTGAAATATAACAAGCGGTTTAAAGTGACGTTTTTTGAATACCTTATATGCAACTGTTGTTTCTATCATTTATAAATAGCACTGATATCTTTTAGATGGCGGTCACAGATAGTCACCTCATGTCAATAAGTCGAGAACTCTTGCAACAGCTCATTGATATAAAATGTTTAGAGCGTGTAACAGGCAATGCTTATAATAGAACCTGTGGTCAAGTAAACGGTAAATCCAAGTAACTATCATACAAATAATAACAATTAAAAAGTGTTTCTCCTAGAACAATTCGTTATAAAAACTAATGTAATCTTACAGATGAAAATGTGTTCCAACTCAAAAATTTAAAACTCATGCTAAGCACCCGAGATTTGCAGTTGGCAGATTTTAGACCTTTTTTCTACGTGTATCCAATTGATCCAAATCCAGAAAACTACTTGATACGCTTAAATTTCAACGTAAGCAATTTCTGACGTTTTCAAAATCACCATGACAAGAGGCGGCGCTAGTAAAAAGGCCGGGCCGAATTTTTCGGACTTAAGCCGGTTTTTCAAAATACTTTGTTTCAGTTCCAAAACTGTTACTGCGTTGGCCTCGATTACGGTAATAATCAAATTGCGTTTGCCAAGCGCTTAGGCTACTCTGTAGCCAGAAAGTGAACGGAGAAAACAAACAATCTAAAAGTGCAAAATCAGAAATGCGACGTGGAGCTGTAAAACGTCAGCAACGTAAAGCAACATAAACACAATAAATTGTATAAAAAAACTGAGAATAAACCATGTAACAAAAATGAATGTTACTCCTTTATTGCTTTTATCAGTATTTTGTTCGCATCTTCAAGAGGATTATGAACAAAACTATGACAATACCTTTTTGTAGCGCTTGATTTCAGAAACTGTTTGTTTTTGACACTATTTTCAAATACAACCATTTACACTAAACAATGTGCTTACTTTAAAATGTCATCAACTGCTCTAGCGATATCTTTTTGTTTTTTCAATATTATACTAACGAGTGCATTAGAAGAAAAAGATAAAATATATGCTTGTAAGTTATACCTATATCGGCTTTTGTAGGTTAGCGCTTTGTTTTTATTGTGAAACCCTAGGTACACTTCAAAATATAACTGCGAAAAAGTCAGTGACATAAGCCCCCTCCCCCAGAGCCAATCCGAAAAAAAACCACATACTATACGCGAAAAAACCAAAAAAAATTGAGAAATTGGTCCACAGGTATCTGTGGACAAAAAAATTTTTTTTCCCCCCCCCAGATAAAATCCGTAGCGACGTCCCTGGCTATTATGTAAAAAATTGTTTCAGTAAACACCTACGTTGAAATCGGGAACCCACCCCAAAACCTTTTCTTCCTTACATCGATGTTTGAAGATGGACTTATACTCTCTACCAATCAATTCGAAACAGTTGAAGTTTGTAAAAGATTTTGTGTCGAAAGTAAGTCAACCTTCTTCATATGCATGAAACACTCTAGCATAACCCTCGATACTGCCTATACAGGAACCTCTATAGTATAAACACCGATACTGTAAAAGTCTTGTTGCAAAGGCAATGTTTCTGGCCCAAAAAGAAGGCACAAGAGTGTTCTCGTTAATCAAAAACAAAAAGTCAGAGGTTCGCAGACGATTAGAACCATAAGATACCGCTCTCGTTCTAACCGTAAAATTTGACAACTGTCGCGTCTGCCTGTAGTCATCAATAAAAGTTAATCATCGTACTTACAGGCCCAACATTGTGCTCAATCTACTGCAGTCCAATGTGTTGTTTGAACAAAGAATTAAACAAAAACGTTCCAGATAGTTTTAACATATCAAACTCGTTTTTAACAAAACGCTATTGGAAAGATCCCAGGTTTGTGGGTACTATTGGTGTATATGCAATAGACACAGTTACGTACAACAATATAAACAATCCACATGCAATTACATTTATCAACTACACGTTTGGTGTAGAGATGTCATGGGATCTGGTAGGGAATGTTTAATGTGCTGTTTTGCTATCGGGTTTGGAGATACTGTCGTGTTATTCAATAAATAGCTTATTTGTACTAATAATATTGATAGTAACAATACTAATAATAAGTTTAGGACCAAAAGGCGGCTCGTGAAAGAAGAGTCCATCGGATTGGCCTAAGACGTCGCGATGACAATCAAACATTAGCTCAAATGCTTTACAAACAAGACATCATAACTCACCCTATTGCGTTGGTGCTTGAACAGGACCTCGTAATCTTTGGTTGTAAGTGGACATGTAAAAGGGCAGGATATAAGTTTCGAATCTACCGCCCTGGCATATCCATCCCAAAATGTCTTCGAGTTTTTTTAGTCAGGTTTAGTTTTAAGGACTTTTGTTTCCTTTACACTCTATTCTTCTGTCCTTGGCCGTCAACATCATATAAAGTGTTACCATGTTTTGCAGTGCTCGTTATACATATAAATGCCCATATTTTATCATTTTTTAGCTTTCAACGATCCAGACTGCGGCAGCTTCACTCTAATCGACATTGCGGATGACTATGACTGGATATTCAAAGGCACATACTTCAAATTCTTAGATCTGGAGTATGACCAACCGTTTATGGTATACTCCTTCATTTTCATGCCTAACAAAAGAGCTGCACCCAATGTCCCCCGGGGTTTGAAAGGAGATCTGAATAGAAAAAAGAGAATAAAAAGTTATCAGGCAAACCATTTCGAAAAGTGTTAAACGATCCTGGTAACGAATGAATTGAACCATCAAGCCAAAGTGGCCAAGAGGTTGAGGTTAGCCTAACGCGCAGTAATTTTTTCTGATTTGAACGCTATACCTTTAAGAAATATAAAAATTGAACGTAGGGACGTCGCTACGATGTTTCTCTGGGGGGGGGGGGGAGGAGAGAGAAAAAATTTCTTTGGCCCACAGGTAGCTGTGGACCGATTTTTCGAATTTTTTTTCGTTTTTTTCACGTACCTGCCGATTTTTTTTGCGGATGAGCTCTGGGGGGGAGTCACCCCGAACCCCCAAACGACATCCCTGATTGAGCGTACTGTAACTGGCTATCCAGCTAACTACAGGTTTTAAATATGGTTTTCGTGGTAACTTTTTATGCTCTTTCATCCTATATAGGCGGCTTACCATAGCTAAGAGATAGTTGATGCAACTCCTTTGAACGTAAGCTTCATATTTGCAGATGGCTGTCTCAGACGACTATGGCATCTCAATCCACCGTGGTATTTTGCAAAAATTGATTGAGATAGAGTGCTTATTGTTTTTTGAAGCAGCAACTTACAATAGAACTTGTGGTGGATTTGAAGGTAAAATTTCAAACAAAAGTAGAAAAATAAAAAAAAAACTAAAAACATTTAAAAAAACACTTGCTCAACTGAAAAAAACTGAAAAGACATTTATTTTTATTTTATTTTCAAATTTTAATTTATTTTACTTTTAAATACTTTTTTTCTTTTTTTAACTGTCACTTTGTAGACATAAACGTGTGGCAACTAAACAACTTCAAGCTTCAGCTAACAACCGAAGAATTACAGGAAGAAACCGTGCACAATATTTTTAACTTTTACCCGATTGATCCAAATCCGGAAAACTATTTATTACGCCTAAATTACTTTGTAAGTTAACCTTGAATTTCTTTTTTCGTTTTTTTATAAGCTGCGATTACGAATTTTCCATTCTTTGACTTGTCAAAAAATTTCATTTTTATCACTGATTGAAAGTTTTGAATCGCCCAAGTTTTTTGAGAAAAAGCTAACAAGGTTAAATACCCAAGCTGCCTCTTTCAGATTCAGCTCAAAATTTTTATTTGAATTCTTTGTACCGCTAATAGTACCCATAACAAATTTTAACTCGCGCTTTTGAGTTTTAAATTTGAATTATTTTGGTTTCCCGCCAATTTGACAAACTTGGCTTGCGTTTCAAACACTTTTTTCGACTTTCCAGACAAGCTACGCTTATGAATTTAAAAATTAAGGTTTATTTAAAGGTATTCTACTAGTATATCAAGGAAAAATTCCTAAAAATTAAAAATGGCAAATTGATAAGCATGAAACACAATGCCATTTTGGCGATAACTTCAAAACGTATTTTTATATGGATTTTCTCCTGTGGCCTTCAGGTGGGGAGTTTTGGTCGGGGGGCGGGAGTCGAAAAAATCGGCACATGTACCTGTGACGATTTTTTGCAAAAGGTTTTTTTCCAAAAATTCACAGGGGGGACCACTTTCAACTTTTTTTTGAAAATTTTTTTTCCCCGCCCTCTCGGGCCTACCCGTACCAGCACGTTTCCTTTCAATCTTGGTTCCCGGGTCAGAACTGGGGGCCTCGAGTGACTCTTTTCAGGTTTATTGAGAAACGTTGGTCAAACATTATTTTTTCAGTACCAGAGGCGCTACTGTACTGCCCTTGATTACGGAAACAATCAAATTGGGTTTGCCGAAAAATACGAATCAACTGCGAGAAGGAACTTGGGTAAAGGGCTCAAATCACAATAAGTACAGTGGAACTCCTGTATAACGAACTGCCCTATAACTAAACGCGCTACAACAAACTCTTCTGTAACAAAAACTCCGTATAACAAACAGCTTTTACCGACATTTTGTATTTATTATAGGGGGTGTTGTCTTTACAAATTGATTTTTAGTGCAAATTGACTTGGCGGGACCAAATTTCTTGTTTACTATAAGGAGAGTTTCTTAAACAGATGGTTTACTATATAGAGAGACTACTGTATAACAAAACTATTTCAAAACGAACAGCTTTTAAACCCCCGCGCGATTCGTTATACACGAGTTTCACTGTATATATATATTTTGTATATTTTTCATATTATAAAGTATAATCTAAAGTATACCTATATAGTACAATCACTATGAAAACAATACGACCATAAGAAGTCACCGTATTATTTATTTTTGATAGAATCGATCACTATATTAACTATATTACATTGAAGTCTTATATAACAATTTTTGATATTAAATTAGACTTTTTAATAAAATTGAAAGCACTATAGCATGAAGATCGACTTTGCACCAAAAAACAGATTTTTTAAAATAAAAATGCCTTAAAATCCTCATTTCCAATGCAAAACCCTCAACAGACCCATTAAAAAAAGCAAAAAAGAAGAAAAAAATATGGATTACTGTAACAAAAAAGCCAATGATATCAATACAAGCTTTTTCTGAGGAAGGGAGAGGGTAAATCCACCCCCATTCATCCCTCCTCTTTCCTAGCTACTTAGAAAGACATCAAAAACCGAGTTGTATAAATGAAAGCTCATAACATTACCCAAACATTGAGAATATTGTCTATAGTTGTAACAGGGTCTCGCTCACATTCGCGTCTACCATGCCTTCTGGAGCTCCAGCCGTGCAAGTTGTGTTCGCCGTTTCATAGAATTCCATCGATGAATCGGATTGATTAAAGGTCCGGTCCACGAGGTCCACAAAACTCTTCTTTAGCAGTTTGTTTTCTCGCTGAAAATTTGAAATTTTAAATTCCCGCCAAAATTCAAAATTATAGCCCAAGGCATGAAGCTTAAATACCAAGAATAACTAAACCCTTCTAAAACATACATAAAAATACAATTTTAAACCAAAATCTCAAAAATTATAACAAAATTTTCAAATTCTCATTTTCCCGCCAAAAAACAAAAAAAAAATTTAAAAACTGAAATTATCAACCGAAATCAATAATAAATAATACCAACTTACCTCCAAATGTCTCTTATTTTCCTTTTCAGCTTTGTACAACCTCTGGAATCGGATGCTTCTTCGTGTATTGTTTTGAAGTTGTCGTTGAGCTACGGCAAAGTCCCTTTCTAGCTTCTGAAACCAGAAATTATATCAAAAAGATGAGGAAAACAACATTTTTTACGATTTTGAATTTCAATAAAGATATTTCCAAAATTATACTATCATTTTACGTTGAAGCAACGTTCTGAAACACAACGCCAAATTTGGCGCCAAAACAAAAATTCAAAAAATTTTTAAAAAATGCCATTTTAAGTAATGTTGAACATATAGAAGCACTTTTAATTCAATTTTAGCCCATTCAAAAGTCCTAAAACCCACTTCCAAATTTACCCGCCAAAGCTAAAATTCAAATTTCAACCTACGTAGTACTTGGCTCTCAGAGCATCAACTTCATCATCACGAACATGTGGATTGAACGATACTCTTTTGGCTGAATTACGAACAAAAGAATAGTCATCAGAATCCGAGTCGACGTAGTCCAGGTCCTCTCCCATAGCCACGGATTTGGTTTTCAGTCGTCGTACTGTAGCCGGCTTGAAGAGCTGCGAATACTTCTTTGGGGTTTCGACTTTAGATCGAACATCTTCGTACTCACGGATCAGACGGACAGCGGTGCGGTTAATTTGTGGAGTGGAGGTTTTTATCTGAAATTGGGCAAAAAAGCTGTAATTTTTCGCGAAAAATGTCATTTTTAAAGGATAAAAGTCACAACATACAGCCTAAAAGGACATTTTGAGGCCTACAAGAGCATCAAAAGACCATTTTGAACCCTAAAATTAACTTTCAATAGCCTCAATCAGAAAAAAACCTTTTCTTATCAAAAAACCAAATTTTAAAAAATGGAAGTTGAGTGGAAGATTTGTAATGTATTTTGCATTAAAAATCTTCCACTCAACTTCCATTTTCAAAACACATCAGTTTTTTTTTTGTTTTCTAGTTTTTGACTAGAAATATGGTTTGAAGCGTCAGATTAAGCCAGAACTTTCTCTACAGAATGTAAAACAGCAAGAACTGTCGTTACAGAACAAGAAATGACACTTTTTAAAAGGTGGAAGTTGAGTGGAAGATTTGTAATGTATTTTGCACTGCAAATATTCCACTCAACTTCTATTTTTAAAATGCATTAAAATTGCATAAAAACACGATTTTGACTATTTTTGGAAGTGGAAATTTGGTGGAAGATTTTCAGTGCAAAATACATTACAAATCTTCCACTCAACTTCCATTTTTTAAAATTTGGTTTTTTGATAAGAAAAGGTTTTTTTCTGATTGAGGCTATTGAAAGTTAATTTTAGGGTTCAAAATGGTCTTTTGATGCTCTTGTAAATTTCCACTTCCAAAAATAGTCAAAATCGTGTTTTTAGGCCATTTTAAAACATTTTAAAAATGGAAGTTGAGTGGAAGATTTTCAGTGCAAAATACATTACAAATCTTCCACTCAACTTCCACATTCCAAAATCTCCAAATCCCCTACCTCATTCCGTTCCTTTTTGGCTTTTTTGTGTTTGAACAGTTTGCTTTTGACCTTCTTCAGTAAATCGGCCATGTTATTGATGAAGGAGCGGTTCGAACCTACCTGAAACACTGTCATTTTTAAAAATGACCGTTTTTTCCAAAATTTATCAAAAAACCGATTAGTTTACAACAATATATGTATTAAAAAGACCATAGTAAAGCCACTGTTTACTATCATAACTTCCGTTTCCTTTTTTTCGCCTTCAAAATGATGTTTTACTTCCGTTGCGCGGAGAAAATTTTAAAAATTAAAAAAGTCAAATTTGTTACGTAAAATTTAAAAATATCCTCATTTCTATTAAAAAATGGCAAAAAATAGAATTTATTACCTAAAATTTTTTAAAATCTTCATTTCTAATGGAAAACTCCACATAAAATAAAAGTTGTTACCTAAAATGCGAAAAATTAAAATTTATTACCTAAGTTTTGCAAAATCCTCATTTCTAATGCAAAATGTGAAAAAGTCAAATTTTTCACCTAAATTTTTCAAAAAATATGAATTTGTTACCTAAAATTCAAAAAAAAAATTCCTTTCTTACGCAAAATTGAATAAAAATCAAGTTTATTATCTAAAATGCAAAAAACTTCTCATTGTTGGTCAAAAAATGCCAAAAAAAAACATCAAATTTGTTATCTAAAAATAAAGATAAAAAAATCAGATTTATTACCTAAAATTCAAAAAATCCTCATTTCTTATGTAAAATTAGAAAAAAAAATTAAAGTTTGTTACCTAAAATTCAAAAAAAAATCCTCATTTCTGATAAAAAAACGTCAAAAAAGATAAAATTTTGTTACCTAAATTTTACAAAAGACATCATTTCTAAAGCAGAATTTAATAAAAATCAAATTGGTTACCTATACTTCAAAAGAACCTCCATTTTTAATCAAAAAATAACAAAAAAATGAAATTTGTTACCTAAAATTAAAAAAAGTTCATTTCCAAAAGCTAAAACCCCAAAAAAAACAAAAATAAAACATAAAAAAGCACAGTGAAACACAACAAACACAAGATACACCACATGTCACACAACATAAACCAAAATTCCTCCATATATACCATCAATAATACCGTTTATTCAAACAAATAGCTATGATAACATCGTTTTAACCCGTATCGCGGAATATAATATGTAAGACAATATAAGTTGAGCAATTCTGCATATCAAACTGGTCGAATATGAAATGTCAATTTTCTAAAATTTTTTAAAAATTCCATTTTCGACCAGTCGAATATTGTTCAGCAACGTATTTTAGGTAAAAAACCGGTTTTTTCGTAACAAAATATGTAACAAGTAAACAAAAAACAAAAAAATCTAAAAAAATTTGACAGAAAATACAAAAATACTTCGAAAAATGCTAAGAAATCAACAAAATAAGATATTACAGGTTTCCGTGGTAGGACACAAAAAATTCATTTTTAAACCGAAAATTTTAAAAAATCAAAGGAGATAGCCATTTTTAACTATAGTAAGCCAATAATTAAAAGTCATTTCGTTTTTTTATAAAAATTTCAAAAATATAGGTCCCACCGCGAAAACCTGAAAATCAAAAAATCTAATACAAAAAAGTCTAAATACTTATTTCTACTCATTCTAATACAAATAAAACCACCATAAACGTGTTTTTGATACAAAAACCATATTCACAAAACCTGTCATGATGACATATAAAATCAGTCATCATGACGAATTTTATAGAAATCTTTAAAATCACTAAAAAACTAAAAAAACATGCAAAATTGCTCAAGGCAATGTGTCCATTTCCGGTCGTTTAATGAACTTGGCATCCCTTTGCGGCCCCGATCTTACACTTGGTGCTGTGTGAAACGAGTCAGTACTGGAATAGTTGTTGGTCGGTCCCGCTTTCACACCATGATGGCTTGGGACTTGAAGTGAGTTTGAAGTGTCGGTAAGTTCGTTGGCTGAGATTGACGTTTCCGGATAAGTAGAGGTTGGTTTTTGAATTGGCAATCGTTGAGAGAATAGTACTGAAGAGGCAGCTGATGATAGAGACGGCTTTTTACGATCCGAGTACATCCTTCTGCAAAAATTTTTTTTAAATACATTTAAAATAACCATTTTTATAGTAAAATCGTATTTTACAGCCTAAATACTAAAAACTTGATGTTTCATGTTTTCGTGGTGGGACCATTTTGGTCCCGCAACAAAAACCTTAATTATCAAAAATGTTTACGAAAATTACCCTATGACTCCTAAAAATGCCCAAAATATGATTTACAAACCTTCTAAATACCCCAAAAACACTCTTTCAAGTTTTCATGTCAAGACCAATTAGGTCCCACCACGAAAACCTTCAACTCCCTTAAAACCCATTAAACCATCCCCAAACCTTCCACAAACCCACCTTAAAGCCGCTGACGGTTCTTTAGCGCTTTCAAAGTCATCAACATCATCCGTTTCGAACGCATCTTCACCTTGATAAGCCACAGCTTCGGGGTCAGTTTGAACCGCATCTGAAGGCTGTTCACTTCTACTCGAATTTGGATTCGAGAATGTGTCGGTACGTTGTAGGACCGCTTGACGTGCTAGATATCTTTCTCTTTGCAGTTGGATCATGATTTTGGTTGGTACGTCCGGAATAACATAGGCGAATATGGCTTTGATTGATAGTACTACGTGCTGAAAATTTTTTTTTTGAAAAATGTGTAAAATACGTCAACGGCACTGACTCACTCATGAAATACGTTAAAAACATATTTTTGACCCCAAAAAAGAGCATTTTTAAACAATACTAAAAATCAATAATTTTTGTGACACTTCATTAAATCATAAAAACAAATCAAAAGTTTTTCCATACCATCACATATACAGTCTGTCTCAACAAAAAACGTCATTTTAACATTTTTAAATTTCCAATAATTTTTGTGACATTTTGTCAAATTTTCAAAAATAATCAAAAACATCGGAAAGCTTTCTAAAAATCATTTTTAACTATTTTAATTTTCCAATAATTTTTGTGACATTTCGTCAAATTTTCCAAATCACCACAAAATCGACCGTTTTTGCCAAAAATAGACTTAAAATCACATCTTACCTCAAATAAAAGTACAAAAATCAGTCTAAAAGCCAGTAGCATCCACCATTTGTGTGAATGCGAGTACAAATCATCACATTGACCTTCTTCATCACGCAGTCCTAAACTGCACGGTGGTCGTCTGTAGTCCCTGTACCTGCACTGGGTAACGTTCGGGTATTTGCTGTTGATGATCAATGTTTCCGTTGCGTTAAAGTACGACAGACTTTGTTCTAGGTAGGTGTCTAGGCTTCCTTCGTTGGTGAGGTAGTGGAACATGCGAGGGACAAAGTCGCTGGTGAAGGCGATGACAAAAGCGTTGCAGAGGACGCTGAGTTTGGACAAAAGGTCGAGGATGGTCATCCAGATGCCAATATTTCTTGCTGGCATGGGGATTGGCTTTCGTTGGGTTACTATGAACTTGTAGGCGTCGAGGCGGATCTCAAGGATGTTGTTTAAAAGTGCAAAGAGGGGTGCTAATGGGAAGGCACAGACGAATAATGTGCAAAATCCAAATTGAATTACTAAAAATTGATGACATTGTAAAAGAAAGATACGGTAAGGTAGAGCATAATAAAGCAGGATATATCAAGGCGTGATAGAGCAAGGTAGTGGGTACAAGGTAAGGAGTAGGGGGTAGACATTAGAAATAAGCCGGGCCAGCCTTGAACAAAACTTTGATCGGGCCGGGCCTGAAAAATGAGTCGAGCCCGGCCCGTTTCCACGTAAAAAAAATTTAGGCCCGGGTTGGTCCGTTTCTCATGTCTAGGTAGGGAGTAGAGGATAGAATGTAAGGAGTAGAAAGTTAAAGGTAGGGGATAGGTGGTAAGGGGTAGGGGGTAGCCTTACCCATTTCCAGATACTCATCGAACAAAAACTGTTCCCCAATCGAGTTCAGACAGTAGTCTCGCTCGACCAAGCTAACTCTATGAGGTTCTCTTTCAATGGCTGTTTGGCTTTCCTGTCTCATTCGTTCTTCTTTTTGTTTTTCACTTTCCATCGGCAGTTTTAAGCGCCATCGGCGGAGAATATTCATGATAGTTCTGAAAATTGCAAGAACTTTCTTTACAAAACATAAAATGACGAGAACTTTCATACCAAAAAAATAAAAGAACTTTCTTAACAAAACCAAAAAATGGCAAGAACTTTCTACAAAACCAAAAATAGCAAGAAATTTCTTTACAAAACAAAAAACGGCAAGAACTTTCTTTACAAAACAAAAAATGGCAAAAACTTTCTTTCCAACCCTCAGTTAAAACAGATATTTTTAAAATTTAAAAATCTTACGGATATCCAATCTCCATAAAGGCCGAGAAAAACTGTTTACCACACATGATGATGAAAAGTTGTATTACCAACTCCACCATACATCCAGCTGGATCACAATCTTCTAGTCTTGCCCCAAAGATCTTAAACGTGCCTTCGGATGATGGTACTGTAGTACCGGGTAGTTTAGCCAAGACATTTTCATTGTTTTGCTCTGGAGGGCCTGAGAATCTAAAAGGTTTAAGTATAACATAAGTCATTGTAAGCCTAAAATGGTCCAACCCTACCTTATCTGACCATACTCTACCCTATACTACTCTAGCCTACCCTACCCTACTCTACCTTTCACTATCCTACTCTACCATACCCTACCTTAACATAATTTACCTACCCGCCTCTACCGTACTACCCTACACCTACCGTAACCTTTCAACGTGCAATATTAGTTGTTACAGTAATCTCAAGCCTATATTAGCTTAAATAGTGATAGAAGAAAGGTTAGGGATAAATTTTCCACTGTTTTCTCTTCTACCGTACACTGTGTAAAAGCAAAAAGAGAAAAATCCCGTATTTTACAAAACAACCCCCAATCCCAACATTGTAAAGCCACTTACTTTCCCTTAATAAAAGCAATGTAGAACAATGAAGAGTAAAAGTTGATAAACTGGAACAGAAACACTTTCAACGTATAACTATTGTCGAATTCAGTCTGGGTTCTTGGACACTCCCATTCGGTCAATTTTAAGGCCAGTGAGCTGTATACCTAAAATATTTAAGGCTGTAAAGAAAGTTCTTGATATTTTTTGTTCTGTAAAAAAAGTTCTTGCTATTTTTTAGTTCGTAAAGAAAGTTCTTTCCATTTTTTATTTGTAAAGAAAGTTTTTGCCATTTTTTGTTTTGTAAAGAAAGTTCTTGCCATTTTTTGTTTTGTAAAGAAAGTTCTTGCCATTTTTTTCCTTATAAAAAAAGTTTTTGCTATTTTTTGTTTTGTAAAAAAAGTTCTTGCTACTTTTTGTTTTGTAAAGAAAGTTCTTGCCATTGTTTTCAAACTTACATAATTCATTATCAAAATGAAGACCAAATTGATGCAAGCGGCCGTAACGGACGTTAAAATGAAAGCCTTGGTTTTGAAACTGTCGCCCCATGAGAAGAATACCTGTAGTACGATGACACGATACGCCACAATTCCGACCACCAGTGCTATTACCAAACATAACTGAAAGATAATTGTAAAATACGAGCCTTTGTTTTAATATAAAAATTGGAAAACACAATAATTTATAAACGTATTACACTTAATACCAAAACTTCAAAAAAAAGCCCGCCAAAACTAAAATTCAAATCTTTGATTAAAAAATCGCGAAAAATATCAAAAATTTCTGCTATTACTGTTAGCCAATGATAAAAGTCATTTTTTATACTTGCAACATAATGCCAAAACTTCGTCAACAACCCGCCAAAATTAAAATTAAAAAATTTTTATAGTTAAAAGTGTAAATACTTCAAAAAAGTTAGCAAAAATTATTCTACACAGTAAATATAATCAGTAAACTTCATTTCCTGACCTTGCAACGCAATGCCAAGATCTTGCCGAAAGCCCGCCAAAATTAAAATTCAAAAATGTTTTTCAAAATTCTCGCTTTAAGTCATTATTCATTACTATATTATAAAAATGTCCATGATAAACTTGTAAGTCCAGTATACTATTTAAAATGTCATTTTCTGGCCGTTTTTCTTAAAAATTCACCCACAAAACCTCTAAAAAAAAGCTCAAAAAACCAAAAAAAACTTACAAAGAATAGCACAGTAATTCCAGAGCAACTAAACCTGAATATCCTCTCGTATATAGGAATGTATGGCTCCTTCTCCTGCGTCACCGGATTCACTCTTTGTTGACTTTTTCTGAACTGAAACTCGGGCCGCAGAACCTCTTCCTCGGCCTCAAAGTCGAAAACGTTCCATTTGTAAGCCAATTCGGCGTGATACCGCTTCCATCCCTCCAGGAATAACGTGGCCCATATCGACATAATGGCAGCGAACAATATTGTGGCACTATTGTCAAAGATGTAGGTAATCTTTGAGTACAGGCAGCTAGCTGACAATGGAGTAAAGTCGCAGAATTTGGTACAGATGGGGCACATTAACACTTTACCCGCCTCGTTTTTGTTGCAGATTTGATTACTGTAACAAAAAATCAATAGAAATTAATTTTACAAGTAGTTTTAGATAATTCTGAACCCAATTTCAACATTTTGAAAATGGAAGTTGAGTGGAAGATTTTCAGTGCATAATACATTATAAATCTTCCACTCAACTTCCACTTTTTAATAAATGCCATTTCTTGCCTTCTAACGAAAATTCTTGTCATTTTGTGTTTTGTAATGAAAGTTCTCGTTTAATCTGACGTTTCAACCCATATTTCTAGTTTATTTTGATTAAAAAACAAAAAAAAACTGATAACAATGTTTATGTGTAGAGCCCTTCCACTTCCAAAAAGTGTTAAAAACGCGTTTTTAGGCTATTTTACGACTTTTTAGAAATGGAAGTTAAGTGGAAGATTTCCAGTGCAAAATACATTACAAATCTTCCACCTTACTTCCATTCTTATAAAGAGTTAAAAACGCGTTTTTAGGCCATTTTAAGACATTTTAAATGTTTCTTACCTCGGAACATCAGTATTAATGGTGACAATCCCGTATAACACACATAAAACTCCAATGATCGATATGATGTACAAGAACCTAGTGTAATATCCAAGCCATGCAAAGTAGAAGCCGATTTTCGTGCCGAAATAGTTTCTTAAGTTTTTGAAATTAAATTTTTTTATAATTTTAAATTTTTATCAAAATTTCAAAAGAAAAATTTTTTTTTCAAAATTTTAATTTTTTTGAAATTTCAAATCGATTCAACCTAAAGAAGCCAATATAAACCTACTTAATCAGATGTAACGGTTGATACTTCCACACATTACCAGCCTTAACCCAATTCTCAAACAACAACTGTCTATCACTACAGGTTGTAGCTTCGTACTTCTCCCCCTTATAGTACGAGATCTCATCATGCAGAGGATAACAAGCCGTGTACGTCTTATTCTTGACCAATCTCTCCACTCCGAATCGATATTTGTCTCCGGTTTCCTTCAGATCGTAGCGTGTTCGAATCAGAAGATCGTACACCATTCTGGAGCGTTCGGCTCGGGAGAAGAAGGCTTCCGGATTCTCGTGATTCACAAAACATTCCAGATGTTGTTCTATGAAGGGTTGGCAAAAGTAGTCTCGGGTTTCGATTCGTTCTTTCACTTTATCATCAAAATCCAGGAATCTGAAACGCTTCAGGAAAGCGTTCACAGCTCCATCCATGAGATTGGCGTGCTAAAAGTGACAAAATATATAAAGTATACAAAGTTAAAACAACATTCTACATTATAACTATAAAAAACTCATTGAAAGCAAGCACTAACACACTAAAATATTGACATAAGCATCAAAAATTGCTTTAAAAGTCGTGAAAATTACCTTTAACATCCGTTAAAATTAATTTTTCACAAAAGATAAAAGCTCTAAATCAAACATTTTTCTACTTAAACCATAGTTTAAATCCTGCTAGATAATAATATAAACAAAATAAATCCATATCTATCATAATATTAGCATAACAATTAAAAAATTTTAAAAAATCGATAAAAAAATGGCTGTCAATATAATTTTTGGCCATAATTGATGTTGATCAACTTGAAATCAAAAAATCATGCCCTTAAAACAATTTAAAAGCCTTTCTTTTCGTTAATATCATAAATTATATTCAGTTCGTCAATATATTATTGTAGAGATAGAAATATTATTTAAAATTCTCAAAATTCATCAATTTAAAGGTCTTTTCCGTATTTTACACTAAAATCTTAAATTCAAAATTCACTTTATCACCTTTTCTATCTTCTCTACTATCCACAAATACCAATTCCAGTCAATAAAAGCCCCAATATTACCTAAAAAACCAACCTTCTTGACGTCATTCTGATAAACCGGCATTTTGAGCTTCAGAAGCTCGGCTTGCTTCATTAACACCTTGAATGGTGCATGTATCAACACAAATCCAATCCGAGAATGTTTGGCAAACGTGTATTCAAGTTCTAAGCCCAAGATTTTTAAATTGTGTTCAAAAATTTTGCGTTTTTCCAGCTTGGTTTGGTGATTCTGAGCTGATGGTGCGGATGTTGGTAAGGAAAATGGCTCAAACTGAAAAATTAAAGTTAGATGCTTTTGAAAAATATAAGACGTTGGATTATAGCGCGTATTTTATAAAAAACTAATATTATTTTAGCCCAAACTTCGTCTTCATTCAGTTTTCCTTCGTTTTCCAATATTATCCATGCCAAAATACATTGAAACCTAAAAATCCTCAAAAACAAATGTAAATTAAAAAAGATTACCTCAATCTTCTCATTGTTAAGACTCTCCTCATCAGCACTGTCCAAATCATAAGCCAGAACATAGTCGATCAGCCTTCCGTCCGAGAAATATCGTCCCATTGGCAGATCGGTGGACATTTTCGAGCGTATTCTTTGGCCGTAATCCAAGCCATTTTCCGGTGATACTGATGGCTAAAACACGTAAAGTAGATATTAGATTACATCAATAATTTGTTTACACTATTATTCATTCGCTTTTATGTTTATTTTGGCACAATTTTTTGAAAAATGTTGATGTAATATCTTGTGTTAGGTACTGAGAAATTTAAAGCTTCGTATCTCAGAAAGTTAATATCTAAAACTCTTGAAAATTGACATAAAACAGGTTATATTAAATTCAAATATATTTTTTAAATTTCATTTCATTCAATCAAAAAATGTTCGAGCTATAGCAAAAACCCATATGACACATAAACGCTTAGTGTAATATCGCGTATCTCAAAATTCCTTGGACCCAAACACTTCAAAATTTACACAAATCAAAACAATTAAAACTTAAATAATTCCACAAAATTTCATTTAACCTACTCTATTTATCATAGAGATATTCAGAAAAGTAAGTAACACCTCAACCCCAACATCAATATAATCCAATATAAACCACAATCCACAACAACATAATAAAATACATACCATCCTAGCTTCCTGAACAGTTTTTACAACCCTGAACAATTGGGGACTCCAGTCTGCTGGCGTGCCGTTCTGTTGAGCTTGTGCCAATTTTGCCCAGAACGGCCGAGGAATGTTTTGAGGTGATTGTGGTGGAAGAAGTGGATATGTGGCGTCACAGTGATCGTTTTTATATAAACGAGTTACAAACTGAGCCTTTGGAGCATCTGAAAATATATTATTGTTACCTAAAATTGTAAGAAATCAGCGTGAAATCCAAGAAATCTGGGCAAAAACCCTAAAGATTCTTGGTTTTAAAGGCATTCTTTCCTTGTTTTGATATTTTTAACTCAAAAACGATATGAAATTTCGAGTGTTTTGATAACAAAATAACTTGAATTTAAAATTGCTTCATTATAACGACCCAACTTCCTTTTCCAACCCAGAACTTGGCCAAAAATCTTGTCAAAACACTAAAAAACACTAAATTTCTCAAAAAATTTGATATTATTCATCAGAATTCGTAACGTTTCGAGGCTTAAATTATCAAATTCTTTTCCAAAACATGGTAAAATATGTGTGAAATTGAGATGGACATACTTGGGCTGGGTTATTGATAAAGAAACTGTGTAAAAAACAGTTGTTTGACGAAGCAACATCAATGAGAGAGCAAGACAAGGTCATTTTTGATGGGAAAACAGTTAGCTGTTGGTGAATCAAAAAGTATTGACACAATTTTGTTGACAAAACGGATTGTTTAGAAGCTAAAAAGGGATTTTGGACCAGGAAGAATATTTTTGGAGCTAAAAGTCTGGCCGACTCCTTCGATCTGCGAAAGAGAGACATGTTATACGATGAAACATGTCCGCTGCTAAAAATTCAGAATCCCTTTTTTAATCTGAATTATATGTCATTTTTAATGCACAAAATACCAATATTAACCCCAAAAACACGTGTACTACTTCAAACCCCATCATTCATATTATTCATGACCAACAGCTCATAAAACCTCATTTTTAGCCAAAAACAACTCATTTACTCCAAACACCGATACTATAACATACGGTTATTAAAAAGAAAAGCAGTTCGGATATATATTAAAGCAAGTTTAGTTAATATCAAGTAAAATGACACCTTGATCCAAGAAAAAGATTGAATATTCAAACGGTTTCGATAAAAACAAACTTGATTAAAAGTTTCGGGAGCTCGTTTCGAATGAAAAATGAGATAATTTTCGAACTAAAATTGCCTCGAATTTACGTTTTGAGTTTAAAAAAACTACAACTATTTGTTTTTTAAACGGAATTTAGTATTTTTTAAGTTAGACATCAATTTATTAAGAGCTTGAAAATGATGATAATATACTGAACTAAAATATTTATAACGGTGTCAAAACTTAACTGACAGACATAAAATCCTTTGTGGTAGTAGTCAGTAGTAATGGCCGTATTTCACCAAAAATTTACAAAATTTCAATAGAAAAGTAAGAAGTTATACGAAAAAAATTGTCATCAAAAATAATAAAAGCAGAATCAGGCAAGGCTAGAATTATTAAACCTTTATTAAACAAAAATGACAGCTTTAAATGATCTAAAAATTTACAAACTGATACTACATATTATTATCTACAAGCCAAGACACTTTTTCAGAATTTCGACCATTCAGTGATAAGTTACACGAAAAAAATTGTCATCAAATATAATAAGGGTAGAACCAGGCAAAGCCAGCCTTAAACGGTCATAAAATAAAACTGACAAATTCGATTGACTTCAAATTTTAAATATTAATTCTATATAGTATTATCTACAAGTCAACTAAATTTTATAAGCTTTTGATCACTGGGTGACAAGTTATACGATAAAACTGTCACCAAACATAAAAATTCGTTAATCGGGCAAGACTAGACTTAAGTCGTCAAAATATAAAAATGCCAAGTTTGATTGACCTAAATTTTAAAATACTGTTACTGTATAGTATTATCTACAAGCCAAGACAATTTTTTTATAATTTCAATACCTGGGTGACAAGTTATACGATAAAAACCGTCATCAACCACAATAAAGCTAGAATTTCAAGAAAAGCTCGCCTTAAACTATCATAACATAAAACCGACAAATTTAATTGACCTACAGTTTTAAATATAGATACTACATAGTATTATCTACAAGTCAACCAAATTTTAAAAGCCTTTGATCACTGGGTGACAAGTTATAGGACAAAATCTCCGTCACACCCAAAAATTTTTTTTTCTTATAAATTTTTGCTTTTTTTGGTCAATTTAAAGCCATTGATACAATTTATTACATCAATCATACTATTATATGCCCTTTTTTACAATGCTTTAAAGTTACAAAACGTTTCCAAGTAAGAAACTAAACATCTTACCTAAATAAAAACCAAAAACATCGGCTATGTTATCGATGACTGTCCCAACTAATTGATGAAAACTCTTTTTTCTCGCCAAACTTTACAAAATGCCACTACTTTTCGACCCCAAAAATGACAAAAATCGAAAATTTAAAAAGTAGGTCTGTTGAAAAACGGCTGGAACTAAATTTTTCGACAATTTTGTTTGAAATACGATAGAAAATAGTAGTCGTTGTTATTGTTTTCGACGGTAATTTCGTTAAATTAAAGCTGTTTAAAAACGATTCTTCTTCCAATTTGTTGTAACAATCAAAATAAATAGCCAAAAAATTCACTTTTTAAAACGAAGAACTGTTTTTCCTGGTCGAAAATGAACTTTAACAAGGTTTTTGGGTAATAAAAGTAAATCTTGCACCAGAGCGCTTGTTACAGAACAAAAAATGCCGCTTTTTAAAAAGTGGAAGTTAAGTGGAAGATTTGTAATGTATTTGGCACTGAAAATCTTCCACTGAACTTCCACGTTTAAAATGCCTTAAAATAGCCTAAAAACGCATTTTTAACACTTTTCAAAAGTGGAAGTTGAGTGGAAGATTTTCAGTACAAATTACACTAAAAATCTTCCACCTAACTTCCACCTCTAAAAAGTGCCAAAAACGTGTTTTTAGATTATTTTAAGATTTTTCAAAAGTAGAATTTGAGTGGAAGATTTTCAGTGCAAATTACATTACAAATCTTCCACCAACCTTCCACTTCTTATAAAACCTAATATCATTGTTCAAATTGTAAAAAGAGGCAAACACTTTGTTTACAATCCTCAAAATTGTTTAAAAATTACCTGTGACTCTGACAGTAAACTCATGTTTCTGTCGAGATGCTTGGAACGTCCTCATTCTTAAAAAAACGTCAGTATAATATAAAAATATGACAAAATAAATGTGATATGACCACGGAAATATAAAAATGGCTAAAATTTTTTAAAAAATGTCGGATATTTCTAAAAATAGCAGTTTCAAGCATATTTTGACAATTCTAAAAAATGTGTCATGATGACATAATTAAATTCTTTTCATAATGATAAAGCTGATAATGAAACGCCATCAAAGTGAACTTTTAAGCAGAATTATAACATTTTTCAATTTTTATAAAAAAATGGCAAGAACTTTCTTTACAAATCCTCAAAAATTAAAAAAATAATCTATCCAGACCACTTTCACTGACATTAAAGCCGTTTTAATTTTTTGACTTTTGAAAGAACGTAATGCATATTCTGTCAGTTTTTCACACCTTCCCAGTGGGATTCTATTCACGTTCAGTCGGCCGTTTTTGGGCCGACTGACATTATGAACGAATAAACTTTTTCTAAACAAATTATAAGCAATCTTAGTTATTGCAATTAATCCTTACCTTACCCTACCCTACTTTACCCTACCCTACCCTACCCTCCCCTACCCTACCCTACCCTACCCTACCCTACCCTACCCTACCCTACCCTACCCTACCCTACCCTACCCTACCCTACCCTACCGTACCCTACCCTACCCTACCCTACCCTACCCTACCCTACCCTACCCTACCCTATCCAAAAAATAATATAAGGTCCTACCTTAAAATACCTTTCCCTACCCTTCAATACCATTCCCTATAATACCAGGTCCTATCTTAAAATACCTTTCCCTACCCTACTATCAAAGCCAGGCGGGCACTTTTGGTCTGGGGACAGGGGTCGGAAAAATCCACAGGGGGGAAACACGTTCAACTTTTTTTCAAAATTTTTTTTCTGAGGGGTTACCTCCTCCCCCATGTCCCCCACGCCCTTGCAGCCTACAATACCAAATACCATGCCTTAGACTAAAATACCATGCTTTGTCCTATTATATTTCCTACCCCACCCTCAAAAAATACCCGAAATCTCCCAAAAACTCCTAAAATCGAGCAAAATCCAGACCAAAAAGCCCTGTAAACATAGTTTCTTCGTATTTCTTAAAAATTTGTACCTTAGTTTTGAATTCCCCATCTTTTTCTCTACCTTTTCCAACTATTTTTTTTCAAACTTATTTACTAGTATTTATAAAAAATGGCATAAAGGAATGACTTTACCTTCAAAAACCCTAAAATCTGAACAAAACCTAGAATAAAAAGCCCTGTAAACAAAGTTTTTTCGTATTTTTTAAAACTTCAATCTCAATCTTGAATTCCCTATCAATTTTTCTATCTTTTCCAACCACAGTTGGTTAAATTTATTTATTAATGTTAATAAAAAATGTCATAAATGAATACTATACCACTCAAAAACCCTTAAAGTCTGAAAAAACTCTGACATGAAAAGCCCTGTAAACAAAGTTTCTTCGTATTTCTTAAAACTTCAATGTCAATTTTGAATTCCCAAGCTACTGCTCTATCGTTGTATGCTATACTTGTTAAATTCCGCTTGCCGTTTTAATAAAAAATGGCAAAAATGTACTGCGATACCTCTCAAAACCAGTAAAAATCGAACAAAATCTAGCCTAAGAAGCCCTGTAGACAAAGTTTCTTCCTATTTTTTAAAATTTTAATCTCAATTTTAAATTCCCCATCTATTTCTCCATCTTTTCCAACCACGTTTTTCAAAATTTGTCTAATCTTCCACTAGATTTTGACCTACAAAGTGTCATTGTCCCCCTAAACGTATCAATTACGTGAACCCTGAAATCCGACCCGTTTTTTTGTCACAAGCAAATACCGCCTCATTTATGAAAATTTCGAACTGAATGTAAGCGTGTAGAACGTAGACATAAGTAGTTAAAATCTTCTTTGCTGAGGTTTGAATTGAATATGTGAGATGATAGGGAATGAGATATTACACTTGGTTTTTGATGTCTTTTGGATGTTACAAGAAGAAAAGATGATTAAAAATTTTTGTTAATAGTATAAGATAGCAAAAACTTTCTTTATAACCATAAAACGACAAGAATTTTCTTTGCAGAACCAAAAATATCACTTTTTACGAAGTGGAATTTGGGTGGAAGATTTGTAATGTATTTTGCACTGAAAATCTTCCACACAACTTCCACCTATAAAAATGCTTAAACATGTTTCTAGGGCATTTTAAGCCATTTTAAAAATGAAAGTTTAGTGGAAGATTTTTAGTGCAAAATACATTACAAATCATCCATCAAACTTCCACTTTCCTTAAAGTGCCATAGCCTTTGTTCAAATAAAAAAATTACCGTTTAAAGTCTCTGTCGACTCCATAGCGCCTTCACAATCCGCGTCCGAGCCAGATGAATCGTGGAAACAGTCTGATAAAGAGTGGGTTCGCTCCAGAAACTCCACTTCAGATGACCTTCTTCTTCGTCGTCTTGGCCTGACTAAAATATGAAAATAGTCATAAATCTGTCATGTATACTCAGAATAAACCTTTTTACACTTTTTGTACGATGAAAAAGAAAAAACTTTGTTTACAGTTCAAAAAACGGCTCTTATTAAAGTGGAAGTTGAGTGGAAGATTTGTAATGCAATTTGCACTAAAAATCTTCCACCAAACTTCCATTTATGAAATTCCGTAAAATGACCTAAAAACAAGTTTTAAGCACTTTTTAAAAGTGAAAAGTAAGTGAGAGATTTTCAGTGCAAAATACATTATAAATCTTCCACCAAACTTCCACCCCCAAAAAGTGTTAAAAACGTGTTTTTAGGGCATTTTTAGAACTTTTAAAAGTGGAAGTTGGGTGGAAGATTTTCAGTGCAAAATACGTTACAAATCTTCCACTCAAATTCCATTTTTCAAGTAAGCTCAAAAGTTAGCATAAGTCCAAAAATAGCAAAAACTTTCGTTACAAACATTCGAACAACTGTCATTTACAGCAATGTTCAGCTTTTTTCCCCCAAAAAAAGTAATTTGTTGGCTTATTTCAAACAAAATAAATGCCCAAAGGGCTCTACACATAAACATTGTTATCAGTTTTTTTTTGTTTTTTAATCAAAATAAACTAGAAATATGGGTTGAAACGTCAGATTAAGCGAGAACTTTCATTACAAAACACAAAATGACAAGAATTTTCGTTAGAAGGCAAGAAATGGCATTTATTAAAAAGTGGAAGTTGAGTGGAAGATTTATAATGTATTATGCACTGAAAATCTTCCACTCAACTTCCATTTTTAAAGTGTCTTAAAATTGCCTAAAAACACGTTTTTGACACTTTTTAAAAGTGGAATTTAAATGGAAGATTTGTAATGTATTTTGCACTGAAAATCTTCCACTCAACTTCCACTTTCAAAAAGTCTTAAAATGGCCTAAAAACACGTTTTTGGCACTTTTTAAACATGGAAGGTTGGTGTAAGATTTGTAATGTATTTTGCACTGAAAATCTTCCACTCAACTTCCAATTCTAAAAAGTTCTTAAAACGTGTTTTTAGGCCATTTTAAGACTTTTTAAAAGTGAAAGTTTGGTGGAAGATTTTCAGTGCAAAATACATTACAAATCTTCCACTCAACTTCCACATCTATAAAAACACTTCAATGTCACACCTTTACGAAGCAAGTCGATGTTTACACATGACACATAAATGAAGAAGTTATAATAAAGAAACGAAGATGTAAACATGTAATTAACTCACCTCTTCGCTTGAATGTGCCATTCTGTTTGGGTGGCAGGGTCGCGGCCGATGGCTGGCGAACGTGCGGCAGCTTGAGCGAGGAATCTGTAATTAATGCGTCGTGATGACATGGTTCAAATTATGGGAAAACAAGTCAAATCTAACTGAAAACCGTTTTTTAGTGCCAATATATAACGGTTTTGTAAAGTTCTAAAAATGTGTCAAGATGACATATTTTAAGTGTCATCATGACATATTTTAAATTACTTAAAAAGCTGCAAAATTAAATAAAACAGTCGTTAAAGCATAATTTGAAGCTGTAAAACCTCACAAATTTTAAAAAATGCGTCGTCATGACATATTTTATATGTCATCATGACACATTTTAAAAGTCATGATGACATATTTTTAAAGTGTTTGAAAAAAGTAAATAATCAAAGTAAAAAAATAGAAAAAAAAATTTTTTTTTACTTTAAAAAAATGTGTCATGATGACATGTAGGGCCGGGTGGAATCATTCGGTCTGAGGGCGGGGGTCGAAAAATTTTTTTTCCAAAAATCTACAGGGGGGGGACCACGTTTAACTTTTTTTTGAAATTTTTTTCTGATTACCCCCCTCCTCGTCCCCCCCCTCGTGAAGGGCCCTGATGACATATTTCAAAACGTATACAAAAATTTTAAAAAATTCGAAAAATATGTCATGATGACATATTTAAAAAAAACACTTAGAAATAAAAAACAGACAACAAAATTTGCAAAAACTTTCTTTACAACCACAAAAACACAACACAAAGCCAGTTTGAAATAAACAAAACGAGCCTTTCTAACCCTTCAAAACATGTTCAACCACCATTTCCTTACTCCTTTCGCCCTTTACTTTTACTAAAAGATCAGTCTGATCAATTGCTTTTTTGTTCTTGTAAATAATGCGAATTAGTCACAAAAACAGTTCTTTTAGGTAATACAAATGACATTAATTTAGTTATTTTGCCAGTCAAATGCAAGAACTTTTTTTACAAAGAAAAAAATGGCAAAAATTTTCTTTACAAAACATAAAATCGAAAGAACTTTCTTTACAATATAAGAAATGGCAAAAACTTTCTTTACAAAACAAAATATTGCAAAAACTTTCTTTCCACAGCTCAAATTAATCATTCAATCATTTATCAAAAAACCTTTTTTTCGATAAACAAATTCCATTCCCAACAATCAGTCAGCCCTGTTCTAAAAGCCCAGGCCAATAACAATATCGGATAAAATGTTTTTTCCTTTTCAATAAAAAACACCCCCCTTTCAGCTGCACCTGGCGCCTCTGATCGAAAAGCCCCTTCACACGGGTTTTTTTCGAAAAACTAAAAGCAAAAAAGTTGGAAATTTCGATTCGAAACAAACATTTTAACATGTTTGCTGCAAAAACATACGCCTGTTTCGACCGATTTTAATTACTCAATCCGGGCGGTTTTTTGGTTAGATCGAGTGTCAGCCGGCTGAGGAAGGGTTCGGCATTTTGAGCTTTGAGGTCTTCAGCGAGGACGTCAGCAAGAACGGGCATTGCAAGAGCAGTCAAGTTAGCTAAAATACGGCAACTCTATCAAACGAAAGTTGAGTGGAAGATTTGTAATGTATTTTGCACTGAAAATCTTCCACTCAACTTCCATTTTTAAAATGTTTTAAAATGGCCTAAAAACACGTTTTTGACATTTTTTAGAAGTGGAAATTTGGTGGAAGATTTTTAATGCATTTTACAACTTTTAAAAAGTGTCATTTCTTGTTGTGTAACGACAGTTCTTGCTGTTTTACATTCTGTAGAGAAAGTTCTGGCTTAATCTGACGTTTCAACCCATATTCTAGTTTATTTTGATTAGAAAACAAAAAAAACTGGTAAAAATGTTTATGTTTAGAGCCCTTTGGGATTTATTTTGTTTGAAATAAGTCAAAAAATTATTTAAAAATACAAAAACTTTCTTTCCATTCCATAAAAAAACATAAAATACGACTTGAATTAGCGGTTCAACGGTTTATGTACACGAAACACATTATTACTTCCGTAATCAACAATAAATTCGAATAAAAATATTGAGAAATTGCAAAAACGAATGAAGGAAATGGAGCCCTTTGAGGGTGCAATTGGTACACTTTATATAATAAGAAAAGAAAACAAACAAAACTCAACAGTATACTGTAAACTCGACCTACAAACAATATTATCAAACCACAAAATGCGTCACTTAAACTAAAATTCCAAAAAATGCGTCATTTTTACCAAAACTTTTAAAAAATGTGTCATGATGACGTTTTAAATTACTTAAAAATCGTCAAAAATTCATAAAAAATGTCATTTTAGCATAAACTGACGCATTTTCAAAAAATTTTTAAACTTCCAAAAATTAAGTCATCATGACACATTTTCAAAAAAGATTACATATTTTTAAAAAACCCGCAAGAAAATAATAAACTAAAACAAAATCCATTTAAAAATGACACTAACAACAATCTACAAAAATTATACGACGGATACGGTAACGAAATTTAAAAAAAAATGGTCGAAAATCACCCAAAAACTCTTCCTGATATGACCTGGATTCGGTGCTTTGAAATGCTTCGAAATTGAGCAATATAACATATAAATAATATAATATACGGGAAAAGGCTTCAATCACTCAACGAATGTGATAAGGGGAATAACCGTAGAGATACAAGCAAGGCCGGGCGAGGGACTTTTGGCCTAAGGGTCAGAAAAATCCACAGGGGGAACACGTTCAACTTTTTTCAAAAAAAATTAAAAAATTTTTTCTGTGAGTACCCGCCTTCGCACCCGGCCTTGATTTCAATCACTAAAAAATATAATAAGGGAAGTAACCGTAGACATACAAGAAAGTACAAATATGTATATGAATATATATTCTATCTACTATATACATCATAACAGAAAAGTAAACAGATATATGGCTTTTTCGGCGTTGCAAACGAAAATATAGCAAAATCCCTTATCAAAATGGAAAAATATAGTCATTTCCATAAAGATTCCAAAAAATATGTCATCTTGTCCAAAAAATGCGTCATTATGAAATAATTTAAAATTTTCTAAAAATCTTAAAAAGACCATTTTCGCCATGACTCTGCCTACAACGACCAAAATAAAAATTATTTTAACTTCAAAAAGCTAATTTTAAACTAGAAAAAAACCCATATCCGTTCAACTTTAGGTAACAAACACAATCTTAACCTCAAATTCGTATCAAAAAACAATAAAAACGACCGATTCAGATCATAAAATGACCGATTTGGGGTTGAGGCTGCTTCTTCTCCACGAACATATCAAAGACCGGGGCTTGGTGGGAGCTGTCTGGGGAGTCGGACTGGCTACTGTAATTCGAGGAGTTCGTTGATGGGCAGCTCTGGAGCCATTTGCTCGAGTACGAGTCAAAGTAGGGTCTTTGTAGGTCCTGAGGCGATAGCTTCATGAGCTGATGTTGGGTTGGAGGGACTGGTGGGAAGCCGAAAATGGTTGGGTATAGCGTACCATGTGGTGGTAAAGCCGTACCATGAAGCGATAGAGTACTACCATGCTGTGGGTGACTAGCACCATGTTGCGCCACAGAAATGGTACCATTATGAGGTGGAGTGCAGCGCTCGGACGACGGCGACAACATTGTGGATGGTACTGCTGGTGCCGTTTTGGAGCTTTCTAAAGCCGTGGCCTTTCGTTTCTGGGTCTTCTTCATCGGCGACGCCTTCTTTTCGCTTTCGATGGATTCTGGAGACGATGAAGCGCTGGCTCCGATCAGCTCGCGTACTCCGATATCGAAGAGATGTTGCTCGGCCAACAGCAGAGGGGTGTTACCGTCAATGTCTTCGAACGAGCGATTGGCATTCCATTTTAAGAGCAGTTTCAACGAGTCCAAGTGTTTGTTTCGGGCGGCCAGATGAAGTGGGGTTTGGAGCTGAAAATAACAAAATTAGTAAATTTAAAAAAATTGTCATGATGACACATATAAACCCAACTGGGAAATTGAAAAAATACATAAAATGTATTGCTAATAACGCCATTCTAAATTTCCAAAAATTTTAAAAATTATGTAATCTTTTCCAAAAAATCTGTCATCCTTTCCAAAAAACTTGTCATGATGACACATGTACATACGAACTACGTATAAACAAAAAAAATACATAAAATACATTGTAGACGACGACAATTTTTACTTTTTTAACGATTTCAAAAAATAAGTCATCCCTTCCAAAAAAAATGTGTCATGATGACAAATTTAAAAAAAAATAAAAAAAGTCTTAAAATATTGTACGAAAATACTCACAAAGTACATATAAAATTCAAAAAAAATTTTAAGACACAAAAAAACGTAAAAATTCACTTAGGAACAGTGTTTTATGTATCAAAAAGCCATATTTTTCCACATTTGCAGAGCAAAAAGCAAAAAAATCAAATTTTAATTTACATTACTATCCTTCGCATCGACTTGAGCTCCATTCTTCAACAACAGCGTCATGATTTTCTCGGCCGCACTTAACGTAGCTGCATGTAGTGGCGTTCGCTTCAATCCGTTGCTCTTGTTCGCATCGCCTGTGGCGTCGATTTGAGCACCGGCTTCGATCAATCTCAACGCGATTCCGTAGTAAACATCACCGTGCTTTGCTGCCAACTTTAAAGGCGTGTCTTCTTCGTCCAGCGTGCCTTGATCCAGCTGCATCGTTGGGAATTTCAAAAGTTCAGCGACAGCCGGCTCATTGCCGGTTTGGACTGCCAAATGCAAGGCGTTTTGGCCCAGAGAGTTTGTGATTGTTGGGTTGGCACCGAGCTCTAGAAGGCGTAGGACAACCGCGTTTCTCCAGTTTTTCACTGCCAGCATCAAGGGCGTATCTCCAGCTGAAAAATGACCATGATTATTAGAACAAACCACCCCTACAAAAACGACCCTCTTATACCCAAAAACCATTTTCCCACCCTTACCCATGTCAACAGCGTTCAAATCCGCGCCTTTGTGATACAGAAACTCGACGTCGTGAATACTTTCATTTTCCAGTTTAATCTCCACGAGCCAATGCAACGCCGTTCGACAGACATGATCGGGTTTGTTGATTTCGGCGCCTTCCGGCAATTCCGAGATTACACCCGTCTTCTGGACCCAAAAATGAATGTCGGATTCTGAACTGGCTCTCTCCGGCAGTAATTTGGTTTCGTCCGCCATGATGACTTTGGCTTTTTCTTGTAGTAGTGAGGTAGTTGGGAGCATTCCATAGTTTTGATGGCCAAATGGACCGCCGAATTGCATGTAGGATGGGTTTTGAAGGTAGTCGTAGGGTTGTGTTGGCTGGATCAGAGGTTTTTCTGAAAAAAGTAAAACTTAAAAATTTCGAAAAAAATAAAAAACGGCCCAAAATCATATTAAAAACAAATCTCTAACCTTATACTATTCTATTTTTGACATTTCCCTCTGAGGGAAACACTTGACCGAAATTACCAATTTTGAGTCACGTTTTTCCCTCAACCAAAAAATATTAAAATTAATAACAAAAATCATTTAATCATACCAAATCCTTCTAACTCATTTTACAAACCAAATATCACATACCCAATGGCGGAATAAACGTAGAAGCACTAAAAGTCTTGGCATTCCTCTTGCTATTCGCCTTATAGATCAAGCTGCCCTTCTTGAACAAACCAGTGAACGGATCCTTCTGATTCTTGTTGAAGTTCGTAACAACATTCAGCACACTTATTATCAACAATGACAGTAAACCAGCACCAACAATCAGTGAGAACCAGAACGTTTTCGATGATTGTTCCTTCTCATGTGGGCCTTCCGCTTCTTTGACGCTGATTCCCAATGGCTTCAGGGCTTTTTGAGTGCTTGCGCTCATTAGGGCTTTTGAGGCTTCGACCAGATTTTTGGGACATGAATCGTCTTCAGATTTGCATTGAGTTGTGTCGACTTTTAAGACCATGAACACGCCGCGGACCACTTCTGGATCTAGAAATTTGGTGGTTTTCAGGTAATATCTCAAAATTTATTCAAATTTCTAGATACCAACCTAATATCTAAATGTTTGATATTCTTTTCTACACCTTCTATCAAAATTTCAGTCATATTCAAAAAAGAATTTTTTCAAAATTTCAAATTTAGCTTAATCATGCCCGTTTTGTCCAAAATAAGATCATTTTTAGCTGATATTTTCAAATGTTTTGATAATATCACACCTCAAAATAACTATGCAGACCTTCCCTATTCTACTTTACACCTTCTCTCAAAATTTCATTCAAATTCAAAACGTCATTTTTTCAAAAAAAAAATTTTTTCCTTGCAAGTCCAAAAAGTTGAATTTTTACCGAAAATATGCCATTTTTAGCCAATTTCTCAACAAAATTTTAAACGACAACCCCTAAAATCATTATCTAACCCTTCCTTAACCTATTTCACACATTCTATCAACATTTCAGTCCAAAATAAAACGTCATTTTTTAAAAAATTCACTTTGACCTCACTCAACCCCAAAAGCAACCTCAATTTACCTTGTTCCAGCTCCCTTTGATCCTCGCTTTCCGGCTTCAAATCGATTCTCTTTCCAGGTCCATTAACCGAATCCCATTCGTAGACCATAGCCTTGTTATCTCCATCCAATGCCAGTTTCATGTCCACATTCACTGTGTTCTGCATTGTATTCAAGATCTCGTTGATGTGTCTTCTGACCAGCTCCCAATCGCCGACCAAGTAGACAATGACTTGTCCTTTCTTGTCCGTATCATCCGAAGTAGCAGAGATTTTGACAGACGTTGAATTTTGGAGTTCGCATCGTGTTCCCAAGAAGCGGTTTTGGCAGTGGCATTTGTAGCCGTGTTTTAGGCTTACGCATGTGCCACCGTTAAGACATTTGTCATCTCCGCAAAAGTAGGGTCGCATCTTGCACTCTTCGCCCGGGTTGCAGATTTCGAATTCGCAGAATTTGCCGGTATGGCTGGTGGGGCAGTTGCAGGTGAAGCTTCTGAAAAATATGATTTTAACTAACGAAATTTCGAAAAATCAAAAATTTCAAACAAAAATTTAGTGTTTTTAGGTAACAAACTTTCAAAATTATCCAATTTTTTTTCAACCCCCCCCCCTTTCCCAAAAAACTCCCAAAATCTTACTCATAGTCATCAGTAGTAAGACAAACTCCATCGTTTTCGCAGGGTTTTCCAGCACATGGATCAGGCTTCTCTTCCTCACAGAACTGGCCTTTGAAGCTGTTCGCACATTCACAATGAGTTGAGTTTAGGCACAGACCGCCGTTCTGGCAAGGCAATTTGCAGTTCTTGTCATCACGGTACTCACAGTGCTCTCCGGAGAAGCCTATAACATATCATTTTTAAAATTGAAATTTGTTACCTAAAAAGGCTGTGAACCTCAAAAAAAATCTATTTTTGTTACCTAAAATATCGTTTTTAGTTCTAAAATGCGTAAAAAAATCACTTTTAATACCTAAAACACTAAAACCTTACCAACAACACAAACACAAAGGTATCGATCCTTCTGACTGATACAACTTCCACCGTTCTGGCAATGATCCACCTTGCAGTAGTCGATGTTCTTCTCGCATCTGTCCCCTTCAAAGCCTGGATGACAATGGCACTTGTAGCTTCCGAATTGATTCTCACAACGTCCTCTCTCTCCACATGGTGTATATTCACATTCATCAACGTCTTTTTCACAGTGATCACCTTCGAATTCGAGTGGGCATTTACATTCAGCTTTGCCTTCCGAATTCAGACGGCAGGTACCGTGTTGGCACGGATTGTTGTGATAACATTCGTCTTTGTGCTCACAGATCGGGCCTGAAATGAAGTGTTTTAAAATTTTTTTTCAAAATTTCAAAAAATCATCATTTCTAACGCAGAATTAAAAAATGTTACCTAAAATCCAAAAAAATCCTCATTTCTAACGCAAAATTAAAAAAAATATATATCTTGTTACCTAAAATAATAAAAAAAACTTCATGCATCACAAAACCCACCATAAAAACCCTTCCGGCATACACAACTATAAGTATCAGCACCATCCATGCATGTTGCATTATTTTGACATGGATTGTCAGCACAATCATCCGTGTTGATCTCACAGTACTTTCCACTGAAGCCATTGTTACACAGGCATTCGAAGCTACCGAATTTGTTCTCACATTTGGCTCCGTTTTGGCATAGACCTTCTTGTTGGCATTCGTCGACGTCTTCTTCACAACGGTGGCCTAAAAGGGATGAAAATTAAGGTAATTACCTATCTATAACAAAAAATTTAAATTTGATACCTGAAATTCAAAAATCCTCATTTCTAACATAAAATTTAAATAAAAAGCTTATTTTGTTACCTAAAATTCAAAAAAACCCTCAATTCCAATGCAAAATTAAAAAAAACCCATTTTGTTACCTAAAATTTAAAAAACCTAATTCATTATTTACAATGCATAACCCATCAGTCCCAGTACTTACCAGTAAAAACATCTTTGCAATGACACACAAAGCCTTCTGGCGTATGTTCGCACTTTCCTCCATTAGCACATGGATTGATACCCGTTGAGGCGAATCCTGAGTTTTCACAGTAATCAAAAACATCACATTTGTCTCCAGAATAACCACGTTTGCATCTGGAATTAAACTTTTTTGCAAATATTTTTAAAAAAATCAAAGTTGTTACCTAAAAATCAAAAAACTACTCTAACTACCAGGAACGTCGCTACAGACTTTTTTAAGCGAAGGAGAGGGGAGGGGAAGAAAAAATGAAAGACAAGAAAATTTTTTTGGCTAAACACTCATTTTCAAAAAAAAATTTAAATCTCCCACTCCCCCGCCAATATCAACGTTTGTGGACCCTATCATTTCACCCCTACCCAAACATTATCATATTACGCAAATTAAACTTGTCATTTTCAAATCCTCTAATTCCCAAATAATCCCCCTATCATTTCGATTAGGTTCACACCTATCACCACGCATCATTTTCACAATTGGAAACATTTACGCAAAAACAATTATCGATATGAGTTCAAGGCTGTCGCTGCGGGCTGTAATTACAGGTTTCCGAGGTCGAGACTGTGAGGTGTGACATGTTTTGGCAACAAGAATTGAGTAAAACGTAGGTTATCTTACTGTGTTAGATAGTAAGACTGATAAAAACGTTTATTTTTACTTTTGTTAAGAGTTGTCAAAGTTTTAAAGCATAGTAAACGTGGAAAATTACAAAAAAGGAATAGTAACAGTAAAAAACAACTTTTTAAATTCAATTTACTATGCAAAAAAATTTGACAAACCTTAACAAACGTACATAAACATTTATATCAACCTTGCTATCCAACACAATAAGATAACAAACATTTCAATCGATTTTTGTTGTCAAACCATGTCACATCTCAAAAGTTCACCCACTAAAACATTTTACCATGGTCCTTACCACCTATATTTGCTGCGTTTTTAAAATATTTGCTGGTTCAAATAAGTTATTATGCTTTAAGTTTCTTTTACTAGTATATTCGTATTCATCCTGACTAATATGTCCGGTTATAAACTTGCCAGAAATTAAAAACGGCAACGAGCAAACAAAGCGCCAAGTGGATTAGCTCGTGAACAAACTCAAAGCTCATATGCGGCGTGCCAAAGGATAAACTTTGCCTTGATCTTGGCACTACAAAAGATCAATATTTTTAACTTTAAAATATGCAAACCTAATATTCACTTGCTTTTTCCCAACCGTATTTTACATAATTTAAACCATTGGATTTTAAAATACCACTTTTCTTTAAATTTTTACACTTTATGCCTTTCCCAGCTGTTTTTTCACCAAATTTAACAGCTCATTAAAGTCAAATTATCTTATTTAATCAACATGAGAAAGGCATCCCATGTTTTTATCAGTGTCTTGCCCATTAAAATTAACTCGCGCAAAGCGCACCCATTTTTAGTGTTCTGGGAACGAGGCGGAGGTGTGTTTGTTGCGCAAGGATTCAGTTGCCATAAAAAAGGCTCGATTAGGCTTTAATTTGTTTTATTGCCAAGGTAATTGAATCTGCTTGTGGTTAAGGTTGTTCGCTTCTTAAAACTCTTTTTTTTATAAATCGCTGGCAACGTGAAGCTTCAGAAATTTTTTAAAATCTGAATTTTATATATCATGAAGGTGTTGGACAATGCAAAATACAAAACAACAACGTTTTTTTAATTTTGAATACTGCAAAGTGTTGTAAAATACGGTAAGTTCCATATCTCCATTAAAAAATTCGGTAAAAAGAGCCGTTACTATAAGTTTGTACTGACAAAGTATACTATTTCTTATGTTGGAGACAATGCTCTTCTATGTAAACGCTATTTGAAAACAATTAACAAAGTAAAAGACAAACAACCATTACTATTTTCTCCTAATAATCCACAGACATTTTCATAAAAGGCTTTAATAACCACTATAGTCCTTATAAAGCATGAAAAGCCATTAAAACAAACTTTTTCCGCAATCCGATTAATCGGAAGTCTCTTATAAATTCTTATAGACTGCCGCTGATCTGTTTGGGAAATGGAAACATAAAAGAGGCCATAAATTACAGTGCAACCGGATTAAGATATCCATATCCTATAATTTATTGCGATGTTTTGACTTGTTCTAGTGGATTTGCATGACATTTTAGCAAGTTTTCTGTGTTTTTATGAATACACTTAGTATTTCGTGCTGTTTGGGCAAAAAAACTCGTTGTTTCTTTTAATATTTCTTTAAAAAGTTCATTTTGGCAACTTTCATATATGTTATTTTGCTTCGTTTTACGCATAGCTTGTTTATTATGTTGTTTTAGACATATGTGATATAATGTAGTTAAAATTTATAAGTTAAAGTGGCCAACTTTGACAAAAACTACGTATTTTATACTATATTTTAAATAATTTAAATTTCAAAACATTAAAAGCCTTTAAAATAAACAAAAAAACCAAGTATTACCTAAAATAACCTCATTCTGCACAAAATCGAAGAAAAAGTAAAAACTTTTCAAATTTTCGAAAAAATCTAACTCTATAATAAAAAAACCTTTACGCGCTGTCTATCATACATTATAACTCATTAACTCGATTAAAATCATTATCAAAGCTCAAAAAAATATTATCCTACCCAAAAATCGGTATCAATCAAAAGTTCAAAATTTAGCAAACTTTTGAAAAAATCTATGTTAATATGGAAAACTAAACCTCTATCACCTTATCTAGCATCTACTCCAACCGAATAAACCTTCAAAACCAAAAAATTATGTTGTCCTACCCCAAGATTGGTATTACTCTCAAACAATTGCTCATAACTCCCGTCAACTCCAATATCCCTAACTAAAAATCATACCAAAACATGATCAAACAACTCACCGACAATAGAACATTCCTGGATTCGTGAAATTCCGAACACATTCGCCATTATCTCCACAGTTTCCGCAGGGATCGGCGCGAACGGCGGCGAAAACCAGCAGAATCAACCAAGTCCAGTTCATTTCCAACGTGACTGGGCCTCGATCCAATCGCAAACTAACACAAAACAATCTTCAGAAGCTGGTCAATTCGATAACAAACACAACTTTGCGTATTCGAGCTTTTGTAACGGTCGTGGGACGAGCCGGAGCAGTCGATTTTCTTCGCAAAACCACGAAAATTGGTGGTGCAACGAACAATCCTCAATATACTCGATCCTCCAGCTGAAATTGAACGTATAAATAAATGTAAAACAAGTAAAACAATATAAAGAACGTTAAAACACAAAACGCGCGAGGAAAAAACATTGTAAACCATTAGAAATTGACCAAAAAAGGTCGAAGAACATCGAAAAAATTCAGAAAATTGAAGCAAAACTTTTGCCGGACTGCGACCGAAGATTTGCAAACTGCAGGAAAACGTTCGGCCGAAAAATAGGGTTTTTTGGCATTTTATCGACCAAAAAGATCAGTTATTGTATATATTTACTATGCAAAAGTGAATTTTTGTTTTTTCAGCAAAAATATATTATCCATGACTTCAAGGTGTTTTGACTCAAAAATAATGTCAATACCTACTTGAATACCTAAAGTTTTTGTTTCTAAAACAACCAGAAGATCATAATCAATCAATTTGTACCAAAAACTAGCCCTTAAAACCAATTTAAATTATAAAAAATATGCAAAACAGCAAAAAAATATATTATCCATGACCTTCAGGTGTTTAAACCCAAAAATCTTATTGACAAAAGTTGAAATATTGAAATACCTAAAACTCTTGATTTCAAAACCAACCCAAGACCCATGCCAATCTAAAAAAAACAAAAACCACCCCCAAAAACAATGTGTTTAACCAAAATCGACGAAAAATGGCGACGTGCGCATGAACGGTACGCGGGGAACGGAGGGTCGGAACAGCGAGAGCGTTGTCCTTTCTCAAGATTTGACTCATCGTCAAGTTAACTTATGCAAATCAATCTTGTAAAAGGTTACTTTTCTCGTTATTCGAAAGCAATGTTTCATTTTTGAGGCCACTTTACATTAATTTAGGTTTTGGGCATAGGTATGGGGACAAAAGTATAGGTATGTTAAGAAAATTGTAGTTTTTGCCAAAACTTTATTGACTATGGTTTAAAAATAACTTTTTAAAAAGTGTAAAAGACACTAAGCTATCCTGGTTACCACATTTTTTGGAAAACTTGCCACAACTTTTTTACCAAAGAAAAATTTTCAAAAAATGTTCCGTGACTACATAAAAAATGGCAAACTCTTTCTTTACATCCCAAAAATGTGCATAAATAACAACGGCCAAAAAAACTTGTAAAGAAAGTTCCTTCTAACAACGTAAACTTGGCCGGATATGCAAATTTCCGTTTGCGCATGATCCGAGTCGACATGAATGTTTACACAAGAATCAAAATTGAACTCTATTCCCCACCCTCTTCGTATTACGACGCGAAGATGGCACTGTCGAAAAGTGGGCGGAGCCTGTTTGGTCAGTATATTTTGTCATTTACTGCCGTTTTATGTAATTTACAGTTAAAATAAGACTTATTGTGAATATAGTGTATCTTGGGGTACTCAGTTTTCACAAAATTTTGCCTTTTCGAATAATGGTACTATTAGTACAGTTTGACAAAAATGGTACTAATGGTACAATTTAAAACCCATTTCTTTCATTAATAGCATTAAAAAAGCCAAAAACCTTAAAAACAGAAAAATTTCAAAAAGTAGTGCCATTTTTAAAAAATGGTACTACTGGGACACTTTTTCAAAACTAGTACCATTCCTACTATTTACCATTACCTTTTACCACAGTAAACTAAAAATAAACAAAGATAATGTTTTTGCAAAAACAAAGCCCATCTAAAGCCGGTATTGACCTAAGATGGCTGTTTTAGGTAACAACACACCTTAATGGGGAAATTACCGCGGGCCGGGTTTATTATCGCCATAAAGGAAGTTTATGTATAAATAAAGAAAAAATGCCATTTTGGATTCAAAAGATGGCTTCTTTTCTTTTGCACGACCAAAAAACGCTAAAATTACCCTACCCTACCCTACTTTACCCTACCCTATCCTATTATACCCTACCTTATCCTACCCAACCCTATCCTACAGTACCCCACTTAAAAATGCAGTGCCTTGCTTTACATTTTACTCCACCCTAGTTTGCCCTGCTTATCCGCCTTTGCCATGCCCTATACTTTACTCTACCACCTCCTCGCTTTGAAAGGCCATGCCTCGCCACATTTTACCATGCCCTAACCCTCTCTTGCTTTTTAAAACCTACCATGCCATAAACCCCGTCCTTCTTTTTCCACCCCTACTATGCCTTATACCTTACCCTTTTTTTTCAACCCTTACCATGCTCTATACCCTACCCTTCCTTTTCCACCCCTGCCATGCCCTAAACCCTCCCCTACCTTTTTTCACCCCTACCATGCCCTATACTCTACCCTACCCAACACCGCAAAAAATCATCAGCCCGGCACTGGTCATGTATCTTATACCTTCTCTTGCCCCCTCCCCCTCCCCGCTCAAAAGGTATCATGACATTAACTTTCCGACCGTTTCTTTTGTGGATATTCATCTATTCAAAGGTATAGTGACTGTTTTTTCCACTCCAAACCCGTTCTTTTTGGCCTTTTTTCGAACAAAAAGCAACGTTTGTCCCTAAATTTATGTGAATCATCTAACCGATAGCTTCTGACTCAAACACAAGGATCTTCTCTTGTAATAAATAATTCTGGAGGTCCAGAAGACTTATTACAGAAGAAGATGATGTCTTGCTACAAGACAAGATGATGAATCCAATGAGTAGTACTAAAAGAAACTAAGAAGAAATGATGACTGTAACGATTATTATTAGGTGCCGACTTAAAGAACCCGCCATTTTTAACAGGAAATTACAAGAAAAGTATGGCGGGTTCTTTACGTCGGCACCTAATACTAACATAACTATGAATACTACGTTGATACTATCATAACTACTAATATTACATCTATTTCCAAGTGTACTATCTATCATAAAGTTACAAATAGTACCAATAGTACGCCCTTTCACTAAAACTTCAAAAATATGACTTTAAGACAAGTTACAAAAAAGTGGAATTTGAATGGAAGATTTGTAATGTATTTTTCACTGAAAATATTCCACTCAACTTCCATTTTTAAAAAGTCTTAAAATGTTCTAAAAACATGTTTTAAGCACTTTTTAGAGGTGGAAGTTGAGTGGAAGATTTGTAATGTAATTTGCACTAATAATCTTCCACTCAACTTCCATTTTTAAAGATTGCTTAAAATGCGTTTTTAAGCCATTTTAAGAGATTTGAAAAATGGAAGTTCAGTGGAAGATTTTTAATGCAAAATACATTACAAATCTTCCACTCAATTTCCATTCTTATAAAGTGATAAAAATGACTAAACTTTGTGTACGCTACTTACAAACACAGAAAAAATTCAAAATAAGCCTGAAACCGATAAAAAAAGTTTTAAAATAGGCCTAAAATAAATGAAAAATATCAACAATAAGCCTAAAATGGATGAAACATGTTAAAAATAAGCCTAATAACGATGGAAAAGATCATAAATAAACCTGGAATCAACTCAACTCTAAGCCCTAACTCTGTTTATTTCACTAAACACCCCTACTTGTCCTTTCCCAAACAACCTTTCCAAAAAAAAACAAAGTAGAGTACTCCCCCACCACGTCCCTTCAGTTACCCCAACAATAAAGCATAAAAATATAATATTATTGTTATATTATATTATACTAGGCAAGATAAAAAACCACTGCCGAACTTTCGATTTGGTCAAAGTTTTACGGCTTTGGGAAACCGTCATAAACACGCAAACACTGGTTGTTCAGGTGGTCGTATAGTGGTTACGTTGGTGAGAAAGTGAAAAAGTTAGCTGGACTTTGGTCTGTAAAGAAAGTTTTTGCCATTTTTTGTTTTGTACAGAAAGTTCTTGCCATTTTTAGTCGTTTTACAGCACAGTGTCTCATTTCACAAAGTGTAAAGAAAGTTATGGCGCTTTAAAAAAAGTGGAAGTTTAGTGGAAGATTTTCAGTGCAAAATACATTACAAATCTTCCACTCCACTTCCACTTTTTATAACGCGCTATTTCGGTCCATAACAGTTATCTTAGCTGTTGCAAAGCAATGCAAACTGTTTTTAAGATCTAAAAATATCTTTGCGTCATCCAAAAATGTCCATGAAGACTTGTGTTTAATAAGAAATGGCATAAAATATCCCTACTAAGCCTAACCTCTTAAGAGTAATAGTAATTCCAGCTCTAGTAACAAAAAACCCTTCCTCAGAAGACATATTGCGACTATTTAAATACTTTTGCGGCTGCGATTTATGAGCCATTCATTTGGCTAGTTCATTCGCTTACTCAGGTCGTAAATCACGTTGATCAACGTTGACTTCAGGTGACAAGCAATGTTCACGTTGTTGGTGGTCTAACTATAACTCTGAAGCTTGATTTTGTGAAAAAATAGAATTTTGAGGTAAATTACGACAATATCATGAAAGGTGTACAATCTTGGAAGTTGAGTGGAAGATTTGTAATGTATTTTGCACTGAAAATCTTCCAACAAACTACCACTTCTAAAAAGTGTTAAAAATGCATTTTTAGGCAATTTTAAGACTTTTTAAAAATGGAAGTTGAGTGGAAGATTTTTAGTGCAAAATACATTACAAATCTTCCACCAAACTTTCACCCCCAAAGTAGCCCAAAATAATTAAACGCAATAACCACTTTATATTAACCTTGGCCTTGTACCGTTTGATATCCACTTAGCGCTCATTACCGCAAAGGCATGAAGCAACAAAGCGCATCTTCTTAATTGCCGACCGGTCCTCAAAGGGTTTCATTGGTTTTAGGCTATGAAGATTAACTTATGGGAAAGCCGTTAATAGATCTATCCTACCCTACCCAACCCTACCCTACCCTACCCTACCCTACCCTACCCTACCCTACCCTACCCTACCCTACCCTACTACCCATTCTAACCT